TTCCTGTGTGTGTGTGTGTGTGTGTGTGTGTGTGTGTGTTTGTGTGTGTGTGCGTGTGTGTGTGTGTGTGTGTGTTGATGTTGATTTCACACTCTGGCAGGACAAATCATATTCCACCCACACATACAAACACACACACGTTCATTCTAAGGGAGTTCTTCGGTGGCGAGTGTACAAGCTTAGGAACAGATAGATAAACCACAGGGTGTTAGAAAAGTCTTCCTATAAGGGAAAGCTCATCACTATGGAAACAATGTCACAGTCTGGAGCACTGGCTGTGAGGGATACTAGCTGGAAGTCCCTTCGTTTCCTGTGAAAAATACCCAAAAAATTCATAAAATATGTTATTATTCATAATAATATTTCAAGTTTTAGGATTATTATCTCGGCAATAATAGTGTTTGACTGGAAAGTATGTTTTATTTCTTTGTTTACTAGGTTATTGAATGAGCTTTGTTTAACCTAAACTTAGGTGCCTTCAATTTATTTTATTTTATTTATTATTATTTTTTACATATAACAGTCCCCTCTCATGTCATTGCACATATATCTTGCACATATACCTAATGATTTAGGTACAGTACTAATTTGGGGTCTATAATATTTGTAATGTTTCTGAGAGAAGTCTCTTATGCTCATGAAGGTTGCATTTATTTGACTAAAAATACAGTAAAAACAACTGTGAAATATTATTAGAATTTTAAATGTGTTTTCTATTTTAATACATTTAAAAATTACATTTATTTCTGTGATGCCAAAGCTGAATTTTCAGCATAATTACTCCAGTCTTCAGTGTCACATGATCCTTCAGAAATCATTTTTAATATGCTGATTTTGTGCTTAAGAAACATTTCTTCTTTTTCTTCTTCTTTTTCTTCTTCTTCTTCTTCTTCTTATTATTATTATTATTATGTTGCAAACAGTTGGGCTGCTTAATATTTGTGTGGGATTCTTTGCTAAATAGAAAGATCAGCACAGAACAGCATTTAAGTATTGTTTTTCTGTGGGTTATATGGTTACATCAGTAGGTGGTGTCAAGTGAATTTATGAGTTAATCTATTGAATAATTTATTCAGTCAGTTTGTTAAAAAAACACTGATTTATTTAGGAACAAACAAGTGACTGCCTATTTGCGTGAGTCATTGAATTATTTATTCAACTGATTTGTTATATTTTTAAAAATAGACTGAAGCAAAAAAAAAAAAAAAAGAAGAAAGAAGAGACAATTTCTGCATATTTATAGTTTAAACATGATGACCCATCAGGACCTAGGTCACTGAGTGTCTCTGATGCCATCTGGTGGGGAAACATGACATAAAATTGCATTTTATGATTACAGCCACTAGAGGGGCCTATTGAATCCTAAAGATAGATTCTTAAATGAGCCAAACAAGTGAAAAAACTACACCAACTTGAGGCTTCATTAAGCTTTCAGATATATCTCAAGGCTTTCAGATAAATATCAAAACATAAAAAAAATATATTTTGTAAAAACAAAAAATGAAATTGATACTGAATTTTAATCCAAACACATGCATATCATACAAATTTTTTAAATGAAATTGATACTGAATTTGAATCCAAACATATGCATATTCATAAAGTTTCATAAATACGTAATAAATATAAAAGATAAATTTTAAAATATAAATATGATATAAACTCATTGGTCTCCACCCCATCACTCAATTTTAACTGTTAAGTAAAAAAAAAATTTCAAAATGACAGTCATTTCCCAGCAGAAACATCATATAATGTGTTTCAACGGGAGTGTGTGTGTGGGTATGTGAGTTTTTTGTGCATTGGGGACATTCTGCAGTCTCAGCCCTTCGTTTGGGTATGCATCTTTTCTGGGTTGTGTCAGATTTTGTATAGTAAAAAAAAACAAAAATCCAAATAAAAAGAAAAAATGAATGGTATGAATGAATGGAATGTCTGAAAAAAGAAAAAGAAAAAAAACAGCATTTTTTATTACACCCACATAGAATACTCGAATCGACTCAGATTTGTGTGTGTTCCATGCTCAAGTGACAAAATAAAAAAAATAAAAATCTGCATTTTTTTCGTAAATTCCATGCTTTTCCAGTGACCAGTCAAAATGACCCGCGAGGGATACTTTTTATATAACACCCACTTAAACTGCTCGAATTCACTGGAATTTTTTTCCGTGTATTCCCGGTTCAAGTGTGACAAAAGTAACACTCTCATACCATAACGATCAATGCTTGATTTTTTAAAAAATCTTTAAAAATGAGTTTCGGGTCAAAATGACCCGAGGGACGGATGAGGGTTTTAATCTGACTGCTTGAATGCATTCGCTTACTGGATCCTTGACTATAAACTGTACAGGAGTTAAAATGATCTGGGGCCGTATGTATAAAGCCGCTCAAAGTAAAAGTTTAGTCTTAAGTGTGTCAAAATTCTAAGAATGACGTAATTTTACTCTTATTCCTAGACTTAAGAATAAGAGTGATTCATAAAGGTTCCTAAGTGTTAAAAGAGGTCTCAGCTCCTAAATTATTTAAGAGAGCTGGAGAGGTCTCCTAACCTAGTTAAGAGTAATAAGATGGCAGCAAAGAGGAGACGACAAACACTTTCCAGCGAACATATATTGGGCTTATATGATAATATGGAGTTGATAAAACTATACAAACTTAGTTGTAAAGATCAAAACGTTTTTTTTTTTTTTTGTAACTGATAAAGTAAAAAATGTCAATGCTCTAACAGCAGAAATGAAAGTAGTAATGAATTTTTTTTCATATTGATGACTGACACACCATCATGACTATAGTATTAACAGTTAAATGTTATTGTCAGCTACATCATTTACAGTGGTGGATGTAACGAATTACAACTACTCACGTCGGGTACTTGTACTTTTTTGAGTATATTTTTAAAGCTGTACTTTTACTT